GGGGGCTACGCCTGCGTTACCATAGTGACTATCTTAGCCTCCTGCACAGCTCCCTCTCTCCTTCCCATACTCTAACACACACACACACACACACACACACACACACCTTTCCCCAGGCTGAAATTGAATCAGTATCCGTCGGTGTGTCCAGAAATGACAGTGAATGTATCTGATGTGATTACGGCGGTTTCTCTGAGAGCAGGTTCAGCTCTCAGAGTCACACACAGCAGAGCAGGCTGTGTATCTTAAGTCTGGGTCATGTATGACCATTGTGCTTCATATTCTCTCAGTCGCTCCATATCTCGTCTCCGTCCAACAGTCTCACCTGTGAATCATCTTGGAAGACACTAATAAAAAAATTTAAAAAATGTAATTTAGGTCCCGTTTCCTGATTAGAGCAGATTAGCAGAAGGAAAACAGTTATATATACATATTTAAAAGTGATTTCAAGCTTTAGAGACAGAAGTTGCACCGGCTGAGACTGACCCAGTGCATAAAGGGGGGTGACTGTGGCTCACTGGCTTAATACCACCACAGTACCTCACCAAACATCCATTAGAGGGGGGGTTATTTCGTTGAATATCTCGATCTGGTCTGCCTGACTCATCGACCCGTCATCTGGTTTGTGTAAGTTTGAATCTATGACCCCGACCATGGCTCTGAAATATCAGAAGCCTGGCTGTGCATTGATGAAGGCGCTGTCCGTGGTGCTGAAGTAGCAGATAGATTTGTTATCGTGACTTTTTTCTCTAAGCCTTTCTGTCAGTTTGGTCTTGGTTCTGTAACACTCTCTAAACTATATTGTCAATCCTCGAGTTAAAAATGAATTCATAAATAATATTGATTTACCTGGTTTTTCTGCTTCCACAGACTTGCTGGGTGTTGTAGTTCTCCTGCTTAGGGGCCCTGTAGTCCTTCGATCCACCGTGGATCCTGCTGTGGGACGGACAGTTAAAAGTCTTGTAGGATGAACTGTAGAAGTTGTGAGCTGGGTCGTTGTACTTTGCTGGTGTGTAGCTGTGATTGACCGGGTCAGACTAATAACTGGTACGAGTGTTGTGGGTTTGGTTGAAGCTGTGTTCAGTTCGGTTGCTGGAGCTCGTACTGTGGTTAGTTCAGCTCGTACTGTGGTTAGTTCAGCTCGTACTGTGGTTAGTTCAGCTCGTACTGTGGTTAGTTGCGCTCGTACGGTGGTTGGTGGAGCTCGTACTGTGGTTGGTCGAGCTTTTATGGTTGATGAAGCTGGTATTGTGGTTGGTGGCGCTCGTACAGTGGTTGGTGGCGCTCGTACAGTGGT